TCTATTTAAATTTTTATTTTTATTTTTTTAGAAATATCTATCGACATCTATATTTTATCGATATTTCTATTGACATTTTTATAAAATTGAGACTTCGATATTTCTATCGATATCGATATTTAAAACTTTGTTTTATATAACACATCTCTTACGTATTCTTCCACATACCATCGAGAGCTTATTACCCCTTTCTAACCCTTTTTTAAGATGAGCTCCTTCATGCTCATCCTAAAATCCTTGGTTCTTCTACTTAATTATATGAGTTTTTTTTCCCTTTTTTTCTTTACAAAAAAAATTTGAGGATATGAGAAATTTTAATCGGTAACCTCTCCAAAAGAAGTAAATATTTTTATTGAGTCATGCTAATGTCTACACGATTTTAAGAGTTAAATATTAATGTTAATGGCAATGTTTCATTCGTTTTCTCTCCTCCCATGTTTGAAATATTAACAAAATATTGATTTCAATAAAAACCCACAAATAAAGTAACCAAAAAAATTTCATAAATATCCAAAGTTTTAAACGTTGATATGGATGGAAATTTCGAGAAATAATATTAATATTATGTCTAAATTAGTGATATTTTGTTAATATTTTCAATATTTTGTCGATCTCTTTTACAATAATATGAAGAAAAAAACGTACGTACGAATATTTATCTTTCATATTGATGTCGAACCTATGACACATGAATGTCAACTTTTGTACGAAAGTTTAATACCCGAAAATATTATTAATTAGTCCAATATCCACCATTCCATTTATAGAAATTTTCCATAGAAAATTTTATTCCATACTAGCTCAAACAATACCAATAGTGTCGTCACCTTATTGCACAAAATTTTTAAAAAATTTCTTACATCTAATATAATTACAGTCATTAATTATAGATATTATATGCCAAAATGGAAAGACAGAAAAAAACTTGTCCTCCACCGGAATTCCTCTGTTACTGAGCACCATTCCTCTGTTCTGTGTTCTGACTTGTAAAGTCAATTCTAATATTTCCAATCTTCCACTCTTTTATAAATACCCACAAACAGGAGAG